GCCGGTCTGGAAGACGCCGCGGGGGCATTGTTAGCCCCCCCGACCGCCGCTGCCTGGGTCGGGGCCATGGACTTCGGCGGGGGCTGGTCGCTGGGAGCCTCGCTCGCCGGCCGCTTGGCCGGCACGGTCTGCTCGTTGCGCTGTATGTAGAAGGGGAGGAGGGGAGGACCAGTCCATGCACGGCGGTTACAGTACGGTGGACGGTTTGACAGCTGGTACGTCGTCTATCGCGCCGATCGATGGCAAACGGCAGCGCGGCAGCTTTCTCATGCCGTGTTTCGACACATATCAAGCCTAAAAATTCCAAAGGACGTAAAGCGGGTAGTTTCCGTATTTCTTTAGACCGGAGGCCCTTCGCCCCCGTTCGAGCCAAAGAACAGGTTCGCGAACAGGGCCACGAAGGAAAAAACAGGGGAAAGTAATACAGCAACAGGGTCCTCGGGCAAAATAATTATGAAATCCGTGATTCGACAAACAGGAACACCGGAGAGGGAGAACGAGTTAGAACGAAACCCTCTCGCGACCAAGCATGTGTACGTACGTAGCGCAGGCACAAAACATAATTGTTCCGCTCCCGATGCACCGAATGCGCTCACAAAATCGCTTGCATCGTTCGCAGTGAGGGGAGGTGGCACCCGACAAGGAACGGTAGACAGCTCGCAAGTGGCGAAAAAAAAAACGGATGCAGAACCGAAAACATACCAAGCCCTTCCTCCTCTACATGGTAGGGATGTGTGTACATGGTAGGGATGTGAGGTTCAATAGTCCAACGACTACGGCATGCGCATACACGAGTACACCCCCGCCCTCCCTTTCGCTTTGCATTCAAGCATACATAACATGAGCGTACGTACCTCAGCCGCGCTCGCGTCGCCCCCCCCCCCGGCATGGTGCTGTTGGACGATCTTCGCGGCTGCGGCCATGTTATCCCGCATCTCCTTTAGACCGTTCTCGTCCATGCTGAGCTTCAACAAACCCCCTGTGTGTACGTATGCGTACGTACACGTAACGGAAAGATATCGGGGAATAAATAAATTGGCGTGCATAGCATTTTCCGGGCGAGGTCCGTCGCGTGTCGCGAGAGCGGTAGGGGGGGGGGGGGACGACGGGCCCACAGCAACTTGCTTCCCACTCGAGACGGCTACAATATCCCAATCCGCCTTTGTGACTGCCAGTTGCACGGGGTGTTCGTCAGGTTGAGTGTTCGTTTCCCTCTGTGCGTGAAGGAACAGCTGAGCTTCAGCGGGGTTTCATGCATACAATCCACAACCTCGTACCAGCTTGTACAGAGAGCACTTCGTGTACACCGGAATGGCTCGCGATTGTACAAGTAGCCGAGAAAAGAGGAATCTTCAGTCACCACCCATGGTACAAACGAACAAAAAAAAAAGCCCCCCCGAGAATACTAGGGGTCTCACGAAACGTCAGCAAACCCGCCGAAAAGTTAAGACCAAACTTTCACTGTGTGCTTCGGACGATGCGAGCTTTGCTGCCGCACAGCCGGTCTGTGCGGAACGCAGAAGAGACAATGTGTGTGTGTCTTTATTATTGGCATCGACCGCGCAAACCGGCCGACCAAAGAAAATACGTCACCCTCAGTGCGGTTGAAAACACGAAACACTTCTAAATGCCATTAACTGGGACCCCGTGGGGGGGCGTCATGGGGGAGGCTATTCTCCGGATAAAAGACAGAGACGGTATGTAGCAACAGAAGAAAACTGCACGCGTGTGTGTGTGTGTGACAGAGAGAGAGAGAGAGAGAGAGAGAGAGACAGGCAGACAGGCAGACAGGCAGACAGGCAGACAGACACAGAGACAAAGACAGACAGACAGTCAGACAAGCAAGACTCACCGCCGCCACCCAGAAAAGACGCCGCGCTGCCGCCGCCCGCGCCTTTCGTAGGCCCGTCCGCTTCCTTGTCCATGGTGAGCGTAAGCATGCCGCCGCCGCCGCCACCACCTCCCCCGCCTTGGTCAAGGTCCCCGGGGGGCTTATTTCTTCCGTCCCCGGCGGGTTTGCCAGAGATAATGCCCATGCCGGCCGACTGGTTGGCGGCGTGCGTGGTGGCCGCGGCGGCGTAGGCCGCCGCATAGGCGGCCGCTTGGCTCTGCTCCTGCTTTTGGAGGTGAGGGGGGGGGGGGGGGGGGTACTCTGATGTTTTGCATGCCTTAGCGGTTAGACCGGTGACCTTGCGTCCTCGAAAGGAACGAGAATTGTTCCCACAGGACCGATCACCGATGGCCAATCGTTCCTTCCTACTTTGACAAAGGTGTCTCAAAGGGGGGCTTGTTGTTGTTGTTGTTGTTGTTGTTGTTGCCTTCACATTAAAAACCGTTCCGGTCTCCTCTCAGTACCTTATGACATAGTTGGGGAGAGAAGCTGTCAGGGGCAAGAGTTTGGCCGAGTCATCGTGTTTGGGCCACGGCGGCAGGAGAGGGGGCGCAACCTCGACCTGTCGGACCCTGACCAAGGGTTTAACTTCCGAGAAGGTGAAGCTGATTTTTCGATGTGAGCAGGAGGGCAGTTGAACAACGGGAGGCACAAAACACACCAGCCTGTCTGCCGCCGAACAGCTACGTAAACGGCATCAAAAGAACGCGGACAGGGCTGTTTCTAAAACCGACCGCCGCACTGCGCACCTTATTGAAGGTGGAAAGCTGTGCCTCGATGGCATTTGGTAATCTGAGACACCAAGCGAGAAATACCTCCCTCCTACCGTCCATCCAAACAAGGGATTGTGGGGTTTTATTCTATGTTCCGGTAGATGCTAGTGACGTACGAAGTCCGAGCGCTTTCTCAATCGCGGTCTGCGGCAGGAAGCCCACCGAACAGGGGAGGATCTACCCGGCGCGCGTGGATGAACTGTCGGACAATTGTGTCGATTGATCCGCGAAGAGAGACAGAAATAAACAAAAAAGGCCCACCACCACACCATCGGCAGCAGCGACGACACCCTCCGCTGCAAGCATCCGCCAACCTCTTCAACGGCAACAACAAGGAAAGAGTGATGGCCGTGTCGGGGGGTGCACTTCCGGGATGATGTCGTGCAATTTTGGGACCAACCGCGTCGTCTTGTTTCGGTGATCCCACATCGACAAGCCGCAACCAATAACAGGTTAACGTAGAATGTCTGTCTCCCTACCCGAAAGTGAAAGATGAGGCGACCCTCCTGCCCAAGCATCACTCAACAACAACAACAGCAACAGCACCAATCACCACCACCACCAACAACAACAACACAACTCTTATGTACCTGCTGCGAGGCAGCGGCTCCGCAGGCTGCGTTCGAGGTCATCCCAGGCGCTGAGAACGGCGCTCCGTAGCCCATGCCGACGCCCTTGAAACCTCCCGCCGGGGCTCCGCCGGGAGGCTGGGGGTAGTTGGGGTAGGGAGGGATACTTGGCCCCCCGGGGACCCCCTGAAAACGGGAGGGAGGGACGGAGGGAGGGGGGGGGGGAGAATGGCGATGTTGAATGAAACGGCGGCAGCTATGAGAGCGGGCCGGATCGGCGGGGGTAAAACGTGCGTGTGCAGGAGTACCAATTACCCAGCTGTACTGGAATGGCCAAAGCGGGAGGGGAAT